ACCATGATGAGGGGTGCCTGAATCGAAGTTTTTTAGGTATGTTCATAACAATTGCAGAAGTATCTGAGTAGGAGTTTTGAGTTCTAAAAGGCTGGCTTTGATAAAATGATAGAAACGCACTGCCAAAGAGTATATTTTTGCAGTTACCTTGCAATTATGGTAGTAATATGCAATTTGATTTCATGCGGTTGGACAGATTTCCGGCGTGTGCCGGTTTGAATGGAATCAAGCTGTCTAAACAGATTACGCAGTACACACCAATCCTCGTAAGCTACATCATATTTCTTATAAAAATTTTTGAAGTTCAAGAACTTGCTCTGCAAACGGTCATACCTAATATTACGTGGAACTGTGACATACCTGATTGTAAATGGTGCACTGCAAAATTCTCTGTATGGCTCTTACCTTATATAATTTCCATTTTTTCAAGATGAAAGTATTACAGGCCCCAGCAATTGATGCTTCAAAGCATAAGGGTAAAATACTTCGCGTCAAAGACTTCATGATACGATGTCCAAAATGTGCGATTCGAAGTTACTTTGGCGAGTATGTCTTCTTCAATGCAAGCTTATATTCCAAGACCTCAAAAACAGAGAAAAAGTCGCACTCACATGTGCACATTAACAACTGCGACTGGGTCTGCTCGCCTTTTCTTTTGCAGTTTTTGAGGCTCACTTATTCAGAATCTGCGTTTGTTGAGAAATATTTGCATAAAATTACAGAAAGGCTACTCCCGGAGGAAAGAAATGTGTGCGCGATATCCAAACCTACGAACTTGGCTGGCCACAGCATGCGCGCTTCTGTGATATAGAAGATACTCATGAAGTGGCGGATTTCTGTCGCCTTTACCACGAAGTAGACTTTGCATTAAGAGGGAAGAGTGTCCAGCAGGATGAAGAAGCTAACGCAACCACGGTTACCTATCTTGAGGACTTGCGCCTCAAAGGTCAAATCGTTAACATTCGAAATCTGAACTGAGTTCATTCACTCATAAATCATCACTTTCACTGTATGTACTCAGTGCTGCTCTTGCAGCTTCCCTCTATTTATATTTCTTTTTTCGTGATGCATATCGCTCTGATGTAAAAATCTTCCTATTACATCTCTCGTTATGTGTTCGGGACACACAACGCAAAGCGGCTAACAAACTTTAAATGACATACATAAGCAGTGAATGTGATTAATTTGTAAATTAGAATTAAAAAAGAAGAAAAGTAAATGTTGAGTTTTCAAAGAAATCTACAGCATTA